AGGGGATTTACCGTGATTACCTCTTTCACTTATTATGTGGCATATTAGTACTTAGTGGGTCAGTCACCACTATCAACTCAGGATTTGAATAACCGAGCCTACTCCAATGCATGAGACTTATGATAAGTTCAGGTTATAGTCAGTATATATATTTTAAATATCAAATGCTTAAATTTTTCCAGCCACAACTATCAAGGGCAGAGAATATTTGATAACGTAGTAAAGAAAACACATTTAATGATTAACAAAGGTGTGATGATTACTGTAACCATTCACCGAGGGTGGAAGGCATTGTTCTTATTTAATAATAATACTTTATTCCAAAATCTAGTACAGCTTATAGGATATATACAATGTTTGACAAATTATTATACATGCATCATATCACATTAACAGACATATGATTGTTTACTTTTTATGCATTGTGACTTGGATGGAGAGTTGTCTTTTTGGCACTCATACCACATCTTCTTATTTATATATAATCAAATGTTAACTACATTTAAGTACATTAAATCACTCTTATACGTAGTACAATATTAAGAATAACAGAGAGTATAACTTACATAGAATTGTTCAAATTAGCAGCGTAGTTTCTCAGCTAATTTCAAGTATTTATGAGATTGTTTAATACTTTAATATTTAGAGAGACAGAGTTGGTTTCGCAACTTTGAAACTTTCAGTCCTGTAGACGAAAATATTGATCTGACGATACAAATGCGGCAGAATCGCTAAAACACGTTTAGTAAAACGTGAAAGTCTAGAAAAACTGTTCTCGTGTATAGCCTATCTCTTTTCAGAGGCATTTCAAATGGCAATCAAGCTCAAACATTCGTACATTAATTTTGATTGCTAGAAATTAAAGAGTATGGTTATACTTTAAGCAAATTTCTTATATCATTCATTCATTTCATTGGACACGCGGCTTTTGTTAATTTTCACTTACCTTTCATAAGCCCCGCCCACCCATAGCAACATGTGATAATATTAGCAACGGGTGTTAATGCTTAAAATTAACACCCGCTGAGCCCGAAGTTTGCCGATCCGGAACAATGAACACCCGCTCCGGCCGAGGTTTACCGATTATAATTTCTACCTCATCTCCGTCGTTTTGTTGTTATTATAAACTATCTAACAGGCAACTGACTTTAATATACCATACTTGGTACTACCGAGCGACACTCGAGTACTTATTGACATCCCTAGTTTATATCTAAGTTAATATTATATGAGGATACACAAAGTGCACCTATTTTGACAGTTATTTTTGACAGTTATCTTCACATCCGTAAAAATGGAACAACTGAAAGGTGTTTTATTTTACTTCTCCACAGTTTTCATGGCTATCCTTCTATCTAGAATTGTCAAACTATATAAAGTAGAAGAAGGTGTTTTTGTTATCACAAACAACAGGCTATTAGATAAACATTTATACAATTGTCAAACGTTGTGAAGTATGAACTGTTACGATTTTAAACATTGTTTTTTGTAGTTATGATTACTGGTTTTAGATAAGTTTAGTCAGGTGAATAGAGTTGCCTCTCTTTGCCTGTAAATAAATAAAATGTATATTAATTATGTCCATACTGTTTATTATGTTTTACCTCGGATTGTTGCAATATATAATTTCATTTATGAAAAAAGGAATATGTCCAGTTAACGCGAAAACAAATTGGCACAAAAAAAAATAAAGATTCATGGATCAACAAAAAGTCTTTTATAAGAATTTCAACAGAGACTATCAAAGACCTGCAGCAACGCCAAACATAGAATGCAAAAAAAACATTAAGATAGCTAAAGATGATCATGACCATATTTCTTTCGGCTTCGACGCCGCTCGATTATTGCAACCCTGGACCTCCGCAGATTTTTTTTATGCTCAACACTTGGTTCGATTTCAGAAGACTCCCATGCGTGATGAAGATGTTTCATACTTCATACAGCCGATAAATTGCTAATTAGTTGAGGATTTATTCCTCTTCTTTAATCTCGATTAATGGAATAAACCGTAAAGATGTACACAAAAGAATAAACAATAAATATCCGTTCAGAAATAGCACTTAACTACAAAATGTTTAAATATATATATACCGATATAATAGACATTTACAAGTTATAAATACTCAAATATATTATATCATATAATGTTCACACTTATAAAATCTAGATTAAATAGAAGGATCGGCTGAATAGTTGTTGTTTGCTTAAAGTCCAGTTGCAAATATTTTATACATAGTCAGGTCAAATAAAAACGAAGAATGAGACGTAAGACATACATCAATGACGCTGTAACCAAAGGCAACAGATTACCGAATGACATGTCGAGGGCAACATACAGTTGAATCATGTAAAGTTTGTTACAAATATACATGAACATGTATTATCTCATTTACCATATAACAAAATTGCGATCAACATGCATTTTGTGTTTTGGGCTTCCGTATTTAGTTTTAAGCTTCCACTTAATTTGATACTTTTTTCAATTAAAACTTGTTCTCGTTTTTATACAAATATTGTACATGCTATTGTCATTTTATAGCCCGATTTCCTGCTGCACTGCTCGTTTAGAAGCATACACGCTTGTCCAAATCTCAAAGCTTGCCTCTCAATACTATTTTTTTTAAATAAGAAGATGTGATATGAGTGCCAATGAGACAACTATCCATCCAAGTCACAATGTGTAAAAAGTAAACAATAATAGGTCAAAGTACGGTCTTCAACACGTAGGCTTGGCTTACACCGAACAGCAGCTATAAAAGGCCCCAAAAAAACTACTATAAAACAATTTAAACAGGAAAATCAACGGTCTAATCTATACAAAAAACGAGAAACGATAAACACTAATGAACCACACCAACAAACGACAACCACTGAACAACAGGCTCCTGACTTAGGACAGGTGCTTAAAAAAGCAGCGGGTTTAAACGTTTTAACAGGCGCCAACCTTTAACCTAACCTGAAACAGTGGAAGAACATTACAACATAAAAAAGACACACAATAAAATATCAATTGAAATGGCTTAACTCGATCAAAAAGACAAATTGAATACACAAAACCAAGTAAAATAAAATATACACTGAACGAATAAGTTTGATCTATGACACAATATAAATAAAAAAAGATGTTTTAATGTCAAAAAGACAAATTTAACCTAGGAGAAATTGGCGTTAAATAAAGTAACGTATACAGGAAAATTTAAATATAATAATTGTGTTGTTAGTACAGAAACACTTTTTACAAAATAAATTTGTTATTCATAGTACGAGTACAGAAGTGAATTTTTTTTTCGTCATACTAAATACTTATCAAAGGTGGTACATATTTGAAATAGTAAGACGAGATATAACACAAAATAAGTAAACATTGAAAAACAGAAATGCATTACAAATTGTGTCAACAGGTTAAATTAACACGAAGTACGATTTGAGAGTACTATTTTAGTACAATCTTTCATCGTCAGTATCACTGACATACATATTTTTTAATAGAATGATTTTTCAGGATTTTTACTTTCAATGTTCGTTTATTATTCCTGATTTGAACTGTTTCATTCATTAGTCGAGAAAACAGTGCAAGGTTGAGTAATCATCCTGAAACCTTTAAGTTGCGAAGTAATTTTTTTTTAATCAAAAGCCTTAGAAATGTTTGTCGTTATAAATAAAAGCAGATACAGGGTAAACATCAATGAATTTCAAAATAACTAAAACGGCATCTTGAGGGCAAGGTACAGACTTCAACAATAGACAGGTTTTTATAGAATATGTCAAGCTCTAAATCGTCACGAATGTAATAAAGTTATGAAATTTAAGAAACATTATGGGAAAGATCTGCTATCAACACCCAATTCCCAAAATAACAACAACACACTATTTAGATTTAAAAACGGTTAATGAGGTAAATATAATGAAATAAGCTATATAATTGCCAACGATCGAAGATGAAATATCTAATTTTAGAAAGAGATCTAAAATCGAATTGTAACAGATTCAAATTCTAATTCTAATTAACAGTTTTTTAATAAAAGCTCAAAATTCATGATTTTTATGAATAATATTTGTAATGTTTGGTTAGGGTGTTCTTGAAATAAAGCGATATGAATAAGTAACAAAAGCGAGATATAACGACATATAAGTTTAGGCTTTGAACACAAATACATGTAAACAAAACACTTGGCAATATTACATCGGTTTAGGTTTCCTACAATTAAATGATCCTTTGGAACAAATAAAGATGCGAACAAACTCGATGTCTTGAAATAAATCAGAGTACCAGTACCCAAAAAGATTCGACAAATGTATGTTTAAATTTTTTGTATGTCTATTAATCCAGAAATTCCAATATTATACGTCAATTTACGTCATTCTATTTTTGACATGTTATATTTACAAACAATCCTGTAGTTCTCTCCAAACACACACCAAGGTAAACCATTGAATATTCTTTCTGCATCTTTTTCGAATAGATTTGAAATGTGCATAAATATATTTGGAGTATTGTACATGACAGAAGACCCTAGTTTTTTTACATGTCTATGTGTGTTTTGTTACATCACTGTGTAGTTGCTTTATTGGTGTCTTCCCAACATCTCTTGTTATCATAATATATATTGATGGTAACTAACATATATATTCAAAAAAAAGTTTTGTCATTAAAGGCACTGTAAACACAGCTATTACACCAAACCCTTTACATAAACAAAAATATTTTAATTATAAATTTTAAATGAATCATGATTATAATTATTAATAATATCATTATTGTTATTGTCATTATTAAAGATATGATTATATTTTGTATTATTGTTATTATTATTATTATTATTATTTTAAGATTGAAGAAGATTGAATCGTTTGCAAATTTTGGTAATGTGATATACCGTATAAAGTGACTGATTGCAAGTTAACATGAAAGGTTATAATTCTCATATTAATTCTCTGAAATTCATTACCTAAAATATAGATACCTAAAACTCTAGTAGATACCTGTACAACCAACATAACTGAATGTAAAAAGTTCGTTGCTTTTATAACATCAACTTTCATGCTAACCTGTCTGAAACTCATAGATTTTTTATTTAGAAGTACAATATACAATGTACTTGAATTGACAGGCTTTGTACGTAACTTTCAGAAACTTCTAAGATCCTAATAGATTTTTTTTTTTTTTATTCATTTTTGGGGTAACCAAAGTAACATTCTCATTTCTGCAATAGTAATTTTATATCCGTAACTTAGTATTTAACTTTATTTAACTAGACTGTTATCCATTTTTTTCTACATTTTGCCTTTTTAATCGTTTTAACTGTTTATTTTAGTTTTTGAGCTGAACGTTTTTTTTTTTCAGGTTTACCATACCAATATATATTCAATCATATCTATACGTATGGGGGGAGACTTGTCTCAAAAAATTAACTTTTTTTCTCTTTGAAAGGTATCGTAATTTTTTTAATTTTTCACCATTTTTTACCCAAAATACATGTAAAGATCCTTAATCTTTATTATAATAATTTAGATGAAGATGATTTTTCCATTACTTGTGGTATTTTACTGTATAATGGTTGTGAAATCTGAAACATGCCTTGGGAGCCAAGAAAAAACAATTTTATCTGGTATAAAATCCTCCATTAAGACATTGGAAGAGAAGTTGGAAGGTAAGATACCAGTTCATTATAGTACTAGTATACAGTTAAGCCGCCATAACTTTAAAAAAAAACTTTTAGAGCAAATAAGAGCTGTATATGCTGACATTCAGATGTCTCTTGGTTATTTGTGTCGTTGGGCTGCTGACTCTGTGGCTTGTATCCCAAATCTCCTTTTTTCATACTAATATTTCACTGAGTGTCCTGCCGATAATGTATATCATAAAAATAAAACTGTGAGCCGAAAAAACAGGACTCCAGTGACACCAATTGTATTCATATTTGTTGATATATTAGCGCTGTGGCGATTTCAAACCTGTAAACAGGTTTTGTTTTAACATATTTGCATATTTCAGCGGATTCATAACAAAACGAGACTGCATTGCCTTAATCACCACCGAGGCGATCTCTTCAGTGAAAATTTGACATAGGGATGTGTATTTTAAATGGTGCAAACTTCGTAAATGATACTTTTGTTCTCAAAAATCTATCAAATGAATAGACATTTAATTTACTTACTTTTAAATCAACGATAATGTTTTCTAAAAATTTTTGTCGACGCTATCCGTTTTTTATACATACTATACTATAGCCAAAAATGCAAGAACATTTATTTTAAATATTTTTTCGATATGCATCAATCTCAGACTTAAACTCATAAAATCATCAATTACAAAATTCTTAGATCTTTAAAAAAAAACGTTTTTTGTGTATTACTATATGTAGGAAAATCCCCGAGATGTAGAGCAGGATGGAAAGAATTAAAAGACCGCTGTTATTTCTTTTCCACTGACAAAAAATCCTGGCACGAGGCGGAGGTACGTGCTAAATAAATGTTATTTATTTAAAATTTAAAGAACAAACAATAGCTAGAACGGCAGATATCAAAATATATTTAGTAAGACTTGATAAGATGTATAGTGACTCATTCTTGTCCTTTGGTGGATAATTGTCTTATGGGCTTTCATACATGTTTCAGATTTACTGTTGAACCACGGTGCCTTAGTGGTCAAAGTAAATAACTACTGTACCACTAGCCTGTCAACACTGAAGATAGTGGTCGACTTAAATTTTAATTGACTAGGATTGTCAGTTTTCCTGACGAAGGTCAGTGGTTTTATCCGGGCTCTCCTACTTCCTCTACCAATAAAAACTGACCGCCACGATATATGCAATAGTACTAAAAGTGACGTTAAATACCAACACCAAATCGATAAATTATATTTCCTTATCTCTATAATGATAAGTTTGACGGAAGACGTCATTTTTGTTTCCGTTGTCAGTGATATGCTTTATTCAAATGTGTTTAAAGGCATACCACATATATATAAAAGCTTTTCAAACTTAGAAATATTGGTTTTTACGACTGATAACCCGACAGGAATCACATTTAATTAGTCCTTTGAAGTAGAATTAAAATTTGTATACAGTTTTGAAGCATTACGTTAAACATACTGTTTACTTCTATATTTTTTTTTTCAATTCTTTGTGTTTGTAGGTAAAGTGTCGAAATCTAGGAGGGTACCTCGCACAAGTTACTGATTCTGCAGAAAATTCATGGATTGTTTCTATGATTACGAGTAAAAGTAAGTTTGTCATCTTTTTCTGCTTAAAGAAACCCGAGTTTTACAAGCTATGGATCATTAACCTGGTTATAGATGTATCGTCTCCCGGACTTCTCTCACCTGGCAGTAAAACTAATGCTACATAGAGGGATAATTTTCATTTGACTTGAAGCAATCAATCAACACCTCATATTTATTACATTTTTCAAATCTGATGTTTGATAACTGAAAGTGAACAGTTTTAAGTATTAATATGAAGGTTTGTAGGATTTACGAGTTTAACCATTATCTATAACATGTACAAAATAATGGTTCACATATATTTTGATGCAATTGAAAATATGTATTATATTCAATTTCGTTGTGGTGTGATCTATGTGCACACAGTTTATTCAATATGACATTTTTTTTAAAAACGACCTAAATACTTTTAATAGTTTAAACTGTTTAGCTTGCGTTGTAAATGTTTGTGGAAATAAAACAAGTGCAACATGAAGTATCATTGAATTAATATTATTGTGTTGCAATTTCATCATATATCCAATATAGCCTGAAACTTAAACTATTCAGAAGTGAACCAGCAGAATTACTGGATAGGTGCAACTGATTTTAAAGAAGGTGATTGGAAATGGGTGAATGATTTGTCTAAAGTACATTTTACCAGTTGGGACTCAGGTCAACCTGATAATCATCAAGGCAAGGAGGACTGTGCTCATTTCGGGCATACACATAAATATAAATGGAATGACCATGAGTGCAGCAATATATTTGGGTATATTTGTGAGAGTCCTCAGGTATTTATTATTAGTTACATATCTCTATTCAATATTTGATTTAACACAATGATTTTATAAAGGGCACGGTACAAAATCAAAGGATACATCATTATAGCAGCAAATCTCTATATATATTTTAAAAGTATCTCTAGATGCGTTCACTGGTCAACGATAAATCGCTCGGTGTGAATCGGTGTGTGATCCAACATATACAAATACAAAATATCAATGGGTGAATTTTATTAAAATCACGTGTTTACAGTTGCAAATTGAATGTTGCAGTAATGAGAATACATACCGAATCCATTTCAAATGTTTTTTTCTTTCTTATCATTTTATGTATGAAATTTGATGAATATTTTCTTTTTAACAAAGACTTAATTTTTGCATTATATTGTAGGGTTCTAATTGTCTTCTGTACTCAAGACTGTTAAAGAGTGCTGTCCGTAGAAAGTAGCAACCTGTCGTGAAAAAAGTGAAATAATAAAAATTGACTTCTTGTAATTATATATTTCGATTTATGAATGTGCCTTGTTGTACAATCCCATATCGTTTCAAAATCCGATAGTATATTGTATGATGTGATGTGCGTTAGGTTTCTTTAGAAACATTTTAATCAGTTGTGCGTTTGAAATTAACGACATACAGGCACGGGAAATTGTCTCAAAAACGATCTAGATCTAACATTCAAAACATTGTTCCCACAGGGAAAACGGTAGTATTTGTTCTTCCATAGGTGACAATTAGGCTATTTCTCGAATCATGTCCTTCATCGGAAAAGATCGTCAATATTACGCACTCCCTTAAAAATGTATGAGGTCATTTACCAGATAGAAGGCGAGCCTGTATCCCTGCACTATTAAATTCGGAAGCACTTTCAGGATCATCATTCTACTGGGTAGTTTAGAAATATAATGTATATTCCGTAAGTACATAATTTCAATTCCCGTAGAACTGGAGGGTGAAAATCTCATTAGATTTTAATTTCCCGAATACTTTGTGCAGCATCAAACTTTTCACCCTTAAGTGTTTGAAGTGACGATGCCTACATTTTTGTCACGTGGTGATGGAAGTCACAAGGCAGATTCAACAAACTACCGTATCTCGGAACTGGCGTATAGTGTCTTACATTTTCTAAATTTACCACTTAAATTCTGGAAGGCTTTTCAAATAATTCTGAAAAAAATATTTTAATGTTTTTTTAAATTATATTGTAGATAAACACACTGCAGTTATTCATAAATAAATAAAAAAATATATTATACCCGTACATCCAATTATAGCGCTCCTAATTTGACTTCCTTCACCTGCCTTGAGTACACGAAAGGCCAATCTAAAGCCATTAAAATGTAATACTACTTTATTTTCCTACAATATTATTGCCAAATATAATATGATATACATTCTAAACATAAACAGGAGTGAAATATTTGTAATTACAGTGGAAACGCAGGCTAATACATTACTGCCCAACACAGCAGTTGAATATGATTGATTTGGACAATTCTTTTACCGATTTGTTTGAAGTGCTCCGTACAAGACCACAAAGACAAAGATCCGACGCCACCGAATTGAAAGATTTAAATTATGACAATATAACATGCATAAGAATAAAAGAGTATCCCAAAGCTAATGCATGGTACATGAATTGAAATGGCACCACAAATGAAACTACTGTATTGTTTACTTTTTTATCTGCTTTAGAACAAAGAATTTTTCCTTGAAATTTTTTAATCTTTTCTTTATATTTGCTAAGACAGTACAAAGTTATAAAGCATGGAATTTGACAAGACAGTCTATATGGTAATTAAAAATAACTCATCAATCCAACTGTACAATTTACAAAATCTTCTGAAAATAAGAATTTGTAACGAGAAAACCTTCCACCAGAGACCAAATTTATTGAGGTTTGCAACTATAGTTCACGGTGTGGCCTCCAACACAGATCAATATCCAAATGTTTGTATATATATATATAAATAATTTAAAAGATTTGATAATCGTTTATTTCTACAGCAAAGCAATGAATAAGTGGACTGTATTGAAATGTTCCTTTTGTTGAGTTAGTATAAAGCATTTGATGTAATCATTTGAATAGAAAAAATTGGTGTGGTTTTTGAAGGACAGTCCTTTATTAATTTGCAGCTTGTTTTATACGCAAATAGAATCATGTGCAAAACAGTGTAGCCGAGACCATTGATTGGCGCGCTAAAATATCCCATTGACTGGGTCAGATTAGGTGAACGTTCGTCTGTAACGCCCACAACTCACGACGTATTTATTATAGACATTTAAACTGTGGGGTCACCAAAGGGTCTCAACGCCTAAATAAAATAATTAGAAAAACTAATCAGGAATAACCTTTGTGTTTTGATTTATATTGAATACTTAAACGTTCTTTACTTGTGTTTTTGTTATGTTTTGATAATGAATTTTTATGATATCGGACGTTCTTTCAGCAAAAAAGGATTTAACTGGCTTTAAAAGTTACAATGGATGTGTTGATTATTATCCTTTTTTCGGACGTCAAAGCGATTTAACAATTGCGGTTGTCCAATTATGTCATCTTTTAACTTTTATCTGGTCAAAATTTTATTTTAGAACGAATGCATGATCAACTTTAAAAAGTGTTGAAACACAAAACATATAGACAAAATATACTTCTTTCCTGTCTTTTTCGTACTTGCAAGTTATTAGACAGTAAAAAGGCTATTTGGATCAAGCCTTGTGAAATTTGCATTTACGTTTTTGAATAGGTAAAATGTATAGTTTGGTGATCTTTTCTGCTAACAACTGTACTTGTGAAAAACCCTTGGCAACAGAAACATATTCAGCTTTTTTTTTTAATCGACCCAATTTACATAGTAATGGACGACTTCGTACATTTTATGATCGCAAATAAAATATGTATATAATATACTGTGCACTGTAGTTCGTATATATACTGAGACCCTTTGGCAACCCCACAGTTTAAATGTTTATAATAAATACGTCGTGAGTTGTGGGCGTTACAGACGAACTTTCACCTAATCTGACCCAGTCAATGGGATATTTTAGCGCGCCAATCAATGGTCTCGGCTACACTGTTTTGCACATGATTCTATCTATGGTTGTATATAAAAGCTTTATACATGCATATATGCTTTGTATACTTTTATTTGAAACAACATACGATCATGACAATGCATCAATTACCAATTGCATCACACATGGATTTATGCCTGTTTAAAGCTGTTGTACTTTTTCATGTTCAGCAGGATCATTGTTGATCCTACTACACGAAGTTGAAGGTTTTTATCTGCAAGTTAACCGTTTTATACTTGGAAATGTTGTGAAAAGATTAAACAGGGTGTCGGAGAGCAAATTGAGTAGCAAAGAAGGGAAATATAAGTATTAGTATATGAGATATATAAAAACATCAAGCACCGAAACTATGTAACTTTCTGATCGCTCGCTTGCTTAAAATTCTTTTCATAGATTTTTGTTTTGAATATTTCAAAAATAATATGACTCACTAGTAAAAAATTCTTTCGCCATCCAAAAAACAAATATAAACATTTCGCTCTCTCGCTACCCTTTTTCAAAGGAAAGAGTCTTAAGAACTAGAAATTAATTTGGTGTGGCCTAATCGATGTTTATAATATGTAAAAGTATATACATCTCAGTTACAATCTGAATTATATTAAACTGATAATTTCTGATAATGAAAACCTCGATAGTTCACTGGGATATAAAAGCATAGTCACCTGGACTTCTCCAATCCGGACGTAAAACACATGATATGCTTCGTCCCAATCTGAAGAGTCAGTTCCTTTCCGTCTAATCTGTACAGTTTGTTCTTGTGTTGTGCTGTACACCACTCTCCCAGGTTAAGGGGGGTTTGCATTTCCTATCATGATTTCCTTGATAGAGGGTTACTGCTCACAAGAAAGCTATTAAACCAAGAGTTCCAAATGGTGAAGTTGAAATCTTCCCTTCGTTAATTTTACGGACGCCATCACGAGTTGGTTGACCGTTACGGAATATCCGTTTCACAGATGATAGCGGATATTTTCTAAAGTCGTAACTACAATCCTGTCTCCTTTTCCCGAATGTGACCTACCGAATAAGACTTATTACCGGATTGATACTAACATGAGCAACACGACAGGTGCCACATATGGAGCAGGATCTGCATACCCTTCAAGAGCACCTGAGATCAGCCCTCCCCCCCCCCCCCCCCCCCCCCCCCCCCCCCCCGCCAGCATTTTTTGTGGGGGTTCGTGTTGCTCAGTCTTTAGTTTTCTATGTTGTGTTTTGTGTACTATTGTTTATCTGTTGGTCTTTTTCTTTTAGCCATGGCGTTGTCAGTTTATTTTCGACTTATGAGTTTGAATGTCCCTTTGGTATCTTTCGCCTCTCTTTTAAGTCATGAGCCTTTAATTCGGTATATGTCGTTAGTTACTGTCTGTTGTCAAATTTGTTTTTGTTTAATGTTTTGTCATAAATAAGGCGTTTGTTTTTTCGTTTGAATTGTTTTACACTTTGTCATTTCGGGGCATTTTATAGCTGACTATACGGTATGAGTTAACTTTATTGTTAAAGGCCTGCAGTCACCTATAGGTGCTTACATCCAAGCCAATAGAAATCTGGTTGAGTGTTGGGCCATTGACATTCGTATCACTTCTTCATAATTGTGTATTAAGTGGGGCGTCTGTTTGAATGTCCAGGGTGTTTCAAGACACAGCTACGTCAAATCGAAATAAGGGCGTTATTCCCGATGCCTCGTGTATATTTATTTCTATTCCGTTATATTGGATTTTCCCTTTTCTATTTCTATCTTTAGAAACTGTGCAACTAGTTTGTAGAACTAGTTTATTAGTATTTAAATTAATTATAAGTGTTTGCGTTAGTACTGCACTGATATTTCTTTGGCACTATTTCGGGTTGGGTTCTGTAGTCATACATAAGTCCGATACAAGTATAGTATGTATTGAGGTGTTCACAGTGACTTCCAAATACAACACGTTCTGCCTAGTATATTATTTACATTTTATTGTATTGATTTAGTGTAGGATAGCAAAATGTGTTTTTTTGGAGATATTTGTAATGTTTGGTATCTTTATTAAATGTTGAATCGCACAGAAAAAAATAAGTTACTGCTGCAAACCAAGCCTACTTTTTGACTTGGCTCTTATTTAGTCATGTAGAAAGATTATCAATTTATTAAATTCAGACGAATTTATGACGGAGAATTTAAGGATGTTGTGACACTACATGTAAAGAATCCTGGCAACAACTCTGTGAGGGGTACTCAGGCGGCAACAAAAAGTCTTTTATTTGAATTTCAACAGATACTATCAAAGATCTGCATTAACGCCAAACATGCAAAACACATAAGAATAGCTTATGACCATGTTTCTCTACCGTTTCGACACGCACCCAATCCGCTTTCATAGTCGGACTTACAAATCCTACAAAGACGTTATGACAATAGACATCATAGACACTTCATGTTTCAATTTGCTTC